GTAGCTTCTTGTTACTGATAGTATGGCCAGGAGCCCCTAGTAGCGTCCTTGCTCCTAGTAGCGATGCCCTTGTTAATAGCTTGGTCATATTTTGAGGTGGGCAACAGATCAAGCTCATTGACTTTGGGATGGCCACCGTGAACCGAACCTGCAAGAAGGAGGCGCGAGCCCTTTTTTCGGACCCGAACGGCTGCCCGAACCTGCCGGCCTATGGCGTGACCGCGCTTGGCGACAGGTTCGAGGAAAACAATCCTATCAAGTTCCAAGCTGAAGGAAACGAAGAGAGTGACAGGCCTCCAGTGTCCACATCCTCTTTATTTAAAGCTACTTATTTATACCTTTCTATTGTCTCGATGCTCTTCTGAATTCTAACCCTATTGTTATCATTTCCTTTGTCTTTTACTCATCTCTCCTAAGACTCGCTTCTACTAGCTTAAGTTTCCTAAAAATCTAGGAACCAAATGATTAGCGCGAGCGCTATCCTGCGTCCTGTCGGTAGTAGCATCCTATTTATAGCTACTAGCGACTAGCTACCGTTTGCTTCTACTAGCTACCTACCTATCGGCCTACCCCCCTTAAAAAAGAACACACACACAGACACACACACTTAATACTTAAATATATTCGTTTGTTTGTTTTTTTATTTGTTTTCAAAAACGAAAAACGTCTCGGCTGAGGCTCCGGAGATGCACACTTCGGATCCCTACGATGCCTTCTTGGCCGATGAGTCACGTGCCGACTCACACGAGAGTCCTACGGTCCCCTACGGGTTGCCCAAAAACCACGGGTTCTGTTCTTTTACAGAAAAATACACAGACTTTGAAACAGACCGGAAGACCAAAAAAGATCAAAAGCTGACACCGAGAGTTTGTAGCGCGAACCAAAACGGTCTTCCAGCCGTCCAACATCTTCCAACTCAGGTTTGCTTTGGGTGTCTCAATTTTTGCAATGGCGGTGCAGGAAGTGAAGAGAATACACAGTCTGAAAAGCGCAAGCAATACACATGAAACAGCTTTTAGAGATTAGAAAAGTGCTGAACGAAATGATGTCTTGTGTTCAAAAGATTAGGAAAATTGTTTCATGTTCTGCAGGATTATCCTTGGACTTCAACCAAGAAAGGTTCGTGTCAGCTTTTCGAGTACATCTCAACGCGGCGGCCCGAGCACATTGAAGTCCTTTTTGGTTGTCCGTTCTTTTTCTTTTAGTAGGTATGCCTTTCGTGTTCGTTTGACTTTCTTTTCGTTTAGCAATTATTCCGTTCTTGTTATTTTAACAGTGTTTAATGTGTTTGTATATGGTTTCCTTTCTTGTTCTTTTAACAATTCTTCCTGTCTTGTTATTGTAATATGTTTATGGTATGTTTCTTTTAACATGTCGCCCAGTATGTGTCTTTTAATAAGTCTTCCTTTCGTTGTTTTATAACCGTTCTTCCTTTCTATTTCTTCAGTTCTTCATGTATTTTTCGTTTAACCGTTCTTCCGATGTTAAAAGAACAAGAAAGGAATAGATTACAAGAAAAAGAAAGGAAGCGTGATATTGCTGAGTGTTATCTATATCAGTTGACGGCTGTCTTATTTCTCACTGTTTTCTCAGCCTCCTTGCTTGCTTTCCCACAAAAAGATTGAGAATTAGAATTTCCAAGGAAATCCCAAAAACAAAACAAAAAACAATTGTGACAGGACTTTGACTCACCCCTTCTTGCCCCCGA